TGATTTTTTAAGATGGAGAAAAGAGCTGTAATTACATTTTACGCAAAAAGGTAAAAGTGCTTCAGAAACATACCAACTCATGAAACAAGTTTACGGTGACAGTTGTTTAAATAGATGAAACGTTTTTGTGTGGTATAAACGTTTTTTGGATGGAAGTGATACGGTAGAAGATGACCAGTGTATTGGAAGACCAATTCCATCTAGAACACCTGAAGTTATTGAGAAAGTACAAAATTTCGTGGTAAACGATCGCTGTGCGTCATTAACAATGATGGCTGACTCTTTAAACATCAACAAAGAAACAATTCGAACCATCCTGCATGAAAATTTGGGCAAAACAAAAGTGTGTGCTAAATTTGTTCCGCACACTTTATCCCCTGTACAAAAATCAATGTGAAGTGCACATTGCAGAAACATCATTTCAGCCCCAGAAAATGATCCGAGCTTCTTGAAGTCCATTGTTACAGGTGATGAAACCTGGTGTTTCCAGTATGACCCTGAAACAAAACGACTAAGTGCGGAATGGAAGTCGGAAAATTCACGATAAGCCAAAAATAAAGGAAAATTCCATCAAAAACCAAAGCAATGCTTATTACATTCTTCGATGTTAGGGGTATTATCTCCAAAGAATTTGTTCTAACTAGACAAGCAATTACAGGTCAGTACTAGTTAGCTGTTTTAAAGCGTTTGATGGCCAGAATTCTTTGCACTCGTTCAGAATATCGGATTGAAAACAGTTGGTGTTTGTTACACGAAAATACACCCAGTCACATCTCCCTTGTTGTTCGTCGATTTTTGGCAAAAAATGTCTGTGTGTTGAACCATCCGCCGTATTCACCTAATTTAGCACCCTGTGACTACTCTTTGTTCTCAAAACTTAAAATGAAATTAAAAGGGTGTTATTTTGAGGATATTTCGACCTTACAAGTAGCTTCGACGCATGTTTTGTAAGCCATTCCACACAGTGATTTACAACAGGCGTTCGATTCCTTAATAAATCGCTATAACAAGTGCATTGCAGCCGGAGGGTCCTATTTTGAATAAAAAACCAAAACAGGAAATTAATTTCTTGTTTATATATCGTTTTGTGGGCAGTCTTAAAACTTATTTGTCGCATAGTGTATGCTACCTATTTCTTACTTTGAAATTCTTCTATAAATAAACATGACGAAATGATTTCATTTAAAAAGAAATATTTTTACAGAGAAAAAAAAATTCTCAAATCCCGTTACAATTATTTACGGACAGAATTTTAAATTATTTTTATATGTATGAATGGAATTTCTGTCACAATTGTCTCTTACGCTAAGAAATTAACATTTCGAAACAAAAACAAATAACAAAACTTAAACACATTTTCCAAATGATTTTAAATATCCTTAAGATGAACGGTTTTGAAATGAAAATATACGATAATATACAATGATAGCCCTTTTTCAAGTAGAGTTGCCATTAAAATAAGTTAACAATATTTTAAATCATTAGGAAGACTATAAAAAAAAGAAAACTTAACATATACTATTAAATTCACCAGACTACTTATTAGAAGAATAAAAGCGGACATTGAAAATGTAAAATTCATTGTTCAGCATTCATAATTACAACCATTATATTCTCATCGAAATCTTTTACACACCAATGGCATGCATACAATCTATGTATAAGGAAAGTCGATTGAAAACTCGCATTTTTTAAAGTTTAAACAATTCTATTGCATTTTGAATAAAGTCATGCTTTTGAACTAAATTAGCAATTGACAATGCGCTTGTCGAATTTTGCTGCGTGCTTTCCTAAAACTGTCAGCACGATCTGCTAATTTAGCCATGGAAGAGCGATTTGTTCACAAATGGGCTCTGAAATTACTTTAATAGAAGGATTTGAAATTCCTTCTACTGTGAAATTCCTTTCTCTTAAAATTCATATTTTGCACAGTACTATCATTAGCAAGTGTTCTCTTGGGTCACTGCCGTTAAATAAACTTTTCTATAAGAGGAACACTTTTTAATACATAAATTTATTTAGGATATAATATTTGAAATATCTTACAAAAATATTGCATACATATGATTATAACGCTACAAAGAACTAGTAGATTTCAAATAATGTCCAGAAGCTTAAAATTATCATCAAATATTTTATAAATTTCAGTTTTAAAAAGAGTGGAATACACAACCTTTACAATTTTGTTTCCTAATTAATATAAAATAAAATGCCCTTTCCAACTAATACATAAGGAAGAATTATATTTAAATATGTACTTAAGAAATCATTATATGATGATGGAAATCTGTATAAAGAAACTAAATTTATAATTTGAATTATAAAAGTATTTTTAGAATCAGAGGAGAAAAATTTCCAGATGTTGTGTTATTGTCGTCGTGTGTTTATTACTGGGATACATACGATTAATTGAATCTTAACGTCGCACTGTTCAGCTACACGAGGGCTTTTGGCGACAGACCATGGTCAAGTGACGTGGACGACACCTGAGCTGGCACCCTCCTCTCCTAACTACCACACCAACGGGAGGACGTTTCAGGACTCAACAGATTTAACGTGCATCGCTGCCCTACACAGCGGGTCTTTAGTGGTACTGGGCTCGAACTCGTGACAAGGCATACACGATCCGATACCTATACCACTCGGCTACCGCGGCCACAGAGATACATACGAAAGACGTGGGATAGATGAACAGAAAAATATAACACAATCACTGAAGAATACAGATTTTTATTACAAACGATGATTCCAGCAAAGGACAGAAGAGGTGCGCTACTTTCCTTTCGAGACGGGAATCCATTGCAGGCGAAACTGTGATTTCTTTTCCCAAAGATACATCCATGCCTTACTCGGGATTCAAACCCGAACCCACTCGATTTCAAGCCGGGTGTCATAACACCATACTGAGTGGGGCGACAAATTTCCAGATAACATCACTATGTGAATACGTTACAGATGAAGTGATCATCTCATTCAGTAAACTTAGCTTTGTAAGAAATCATACAGAATAATACATTTTATCATTTCATCATCTAAATTCTTATTAAAAAGAAATGCTTTTCTTTCTCTCATAGTTAAGGTCAAGGTAGCCGAGTAGCCATAGTCGCAAAGTCATGGTCAGCGTTATCGAGTCTTTAATTCCGGTCCTGTAACCATAGAAGATCCACCTTGTAGACCAGAGGTTCCCACACTTTTTTGTCTCACAGACCCCTTGCCATGTTTTTCGTCTTTGGGTAGATCCTTGATTACCTAATATTAAATTTTTGCACATTTTAACTTAAATGTCTTTTTGACAGCTGGTATAGAGCCACTTAGTTTAAAAGGTTTAAAATTTTAACTGTAGGGATGCATAGTGTTTAAAACTTAAGAATCACATGTTAATTAATTTTAAATTTCATTTTAGTAATAAATATAATAACTGAGCATAAAAGAAAAATGTTTTAATGGAAGGAAGGAATCTGACGGTTCAATAACAAATTTTCAACATTTGGCATCAATCTTGTCGAGTTTAACGCTAAATTTCAATTAATAATGTTTAATCTCTCTTTCTCTCTCATTTTTTTTAAGATTGTCAACCGTGATGTGTGTGAAACTTTTGCTCATAGGAAGAAAAGAAATAATTAAAAAGAGAGTTTTTCTCGATATTCCATAATTCAGGGTAAATAACAGGAATAATATATAGGAAACAGGATAAAAACCAGGATAATTTATTGGTAAAATTGTTGACATCCGTTTCTAAACTTTAAGATCTTCATTAGTGTCTATTCCGATTGTATATGACATTAATATTTTTCAAAGTGACCATATAATTTTTTAATCTACTGTGGTATAACCATAATCTAAGAATTCTCTCACACACAAACCTGGTTTTAAAATCTGAATAGAGGGCCTTTAAATGTTGAACATAGGTTACAGCGTCATCTTCCTGGCAGGATTGTCTGCGACAAAATGAGAAACTGGGAAAATTCGCGATTATACTGCTTTAGTTTTATTCTGAAAAGAAAAACAGAAAAGATGGTCTTCGTTTTAATTAAATTTATGCTGTCACCTTGTAATTGTGCAAATTAACCTCATTAAGTTTAGTAAAAAAATCTGTAAAATAGGTAAAATCTGGTTTCTCCTTGATTAAATTTTCTTGTAAAATTAAAATCACAATCTGGTTTAATGAGAGCTACTATCGCAGACCTCCATTCACACCTCATGGACCCGTTAATTATTTTTCCACTGACGTGGACCCCTTGCAAGTTGTCATAGACCCCTAGGGGTACATATAGACAATATTGGGAATCACTGTTTTAAACGAACTGGTGTGCATAAAACGTCGAGGATCATAGTCCTCATGTTGGTGTGTAATGTGTAACAGTGGAACACCAGTCAGTTTCGTCACTGGACTGAGATTCAAAATTACGGCTCCTTTACTAATAGACCCTGCGTTGTTAGTAGGGAATTAATAAATCTTCTTGGTCAATGGATTTAATTTTGATATACGTCGAAGTCCGAAGCAATAAGAGGGATATTTGTGAAGGATCTCGTAATGTTGTTTCTCGATCAAGTAACGAGGCCGACTCTTGAGCTCACCGAACCAACGGAAAGACTGAACCCCAATATATCTTCAGTGGTACTAAGCTTCGATCCTGAGGCTCAACAATACCGGCTACCAACTCTCGATCATGACCACTCGTCTGTTGTGGCCTCGTTGTCAAAAAAATATGTATTAAACAAGTTACACAAAAAAAAAATAATAAGTCAATTCCTAATTAGGTCAACTAAGAAAAACTTTATTTTAATTACTTTTTATAAAATAATTACAATTAATATAAATATGTATATACATATGACAGAATCACAATATTAAGTGGCAAAATAGATAGCGATTTTCCTTTGTATATAGGGTGCTGGACTATTATTTTTGTTTGTTAATATCTATTCATTAATTAAATTTAATTATTCTAGTAAAATAGTACAGGAAAAAAAAGAAATCGCATTCTCAGAAATTAGGCCATCCCAGGTGGAATTCGAACCCACGACCTTTGGATTAAAAGTCCAAATTACTATTCATTGCGCAACAGGGACACAACAAGCGGTTTTTCTTTCTATATATGATTTGCACAATTGTTTTTAATTGTTACTATTTATTAATTAATTTAATTTAATTAATGAATTAAGATTTAAAAAACTGTATTAACATCAAGTGTCATCCACTACAAATTTAAAAAATTGTAGTTGAACTTAAATGGAGGAATAAAAAGTATTTTACTAACGATTGAAATTTTGAACAAGATATATATATAGGGAGAGTGTGAACTAATAATATAAATTGAAAAAGATACTTAAATATATAACAAAAATTATATTTTATTCATGTCCTGATAAATAAAACATAATTTAAGAACAAAACATAGCATATAGTTCAGAATAATATAACTAGAATTTTTATAGTTTTTACACCGGAATAAAACGGTCTCTAAAAGAAAGTATATGAAAATACTTATCATTAATATCTTATTCATAGTTTAAATTCCTAATTAAACGGAAAGATCTTGTAATTTAAATAGAACTTTCATTTTAGCGTATTTATTAAAATCTAAATACCTATTGCGCGATATTTTTCTACAATTTAAAATTCCTGTAATAAAAGAAAACAGTATTTTTACATGAAAATTTGATATACTCTCACATAGATTTGTGTGTGTGCCAAAACTATTTATTGAAAAATACTTTTTTAATTCTTTAAATTTAGATTGTAACCAAAGAAATAATTTAATCTATGTAGAAAATTGGATGATATATTTAGCGCAAAATAACTATAACACTGTAATCACCACAACCAGTAGCGAACACAGGAATTTTTCAAGGGGGGGTCCGGGGTTGAAAGTTCACCATTCTTGTATCATGCTATTTTTGATTTTGTCGATTTTCAGTAACAAAACACAGTTAAAAACTAATTATTGAATAATAATTAGCATTAATTAATAAAATTAATCATTAATAACAGATATTTAATTAAATTTTACGTATTATACACTTAGAATTATAACCAATCGGAAAAAATCAAGGGCTTTGGGGGGTTCCGGACCCCCTCTTGTGTGCTCCACTGACCATAACGCTTATCGGTGTTAATTCTTGATATTATTCTACATAAATTATCTTTAAATAAATGCTAAGAAAGCCTGGAAATATCTAATAGTATTAAGACCCATTTAAAGAATAACACCGAATTGGCTAAAAAATATATTAATTTGAATATGGTAAGTCAGCTACTGTATTTAACATTCACTGAAACCAAAGATAATTCATCAAATAGGAGATTTTATTACTGATAATTATTTCTATACGTATAAGATACATTTTGAGTATAATTTTGTTGTTGGACCATTAAAAATACGTTATATACACAGACAAATCAGTACTTGCACTACATTCCTGAATTCCTACAAGAGGATTTTGCAAGTCATAATTATTTCTCTCTCTCTCACAAATCTATCATTAATTATCGGTTATCAATGTTCGAAATGAACTTCTAAACGCAAAGCAATTATTCGATAACGATTCAGGGACATCGAGGGAATAACAAATCGATACGAATAGTGAACTAAAACTCTTCGGAAGGAAATAGTATCGAACTTCCTGAACTCGGTTCCTTCCGTTTAATGGGAAGAATTGGAAATTCGAGCATTCCGGAACTCTTTGGGGAAATAATTATTTTTTTTAATAAAATCATTAATCGAATAGGTGCGGCTGAAAATATATTTCCATTCGTTGGCACCATTTCTTTAACCTATAATGATTTTGATAAACTCGGCAAGTTTATTTCAAGAAAAAAAAAAGATACAATTTTATGGTTTGGAAGTCATGACTAACACTTGTAAACGTTAATGAAGTAACACTGTTTTTCGAACACACAAATATATTTGTTCTTTTAATTTATTTAAAACTACGTAATTTATTTCAAAGATTTATTATAAGTTAAAAATGTATAAGAATGATTTTATATTTCTTAGAAGTAAATAAAGTTTGTGTAAAATTTAAGAAAAGTCTTACGTTAAAAAATAATAGCAGTCAATTAACCAATTATTATACTTTAAATTTTCAAGTCTAACAAAAAAACATCAAGCCCTTATACGCCAAAGATTTCAAGCTCTTTATATACACTAATAACAAAATTAATTTAAGACTTGGAGCAGAGGGGGGAAGACATATACTATAATAAAATCTTACAAAATTTCCTCAAGCAAATCCCATTTTATAAAAATTATTTTTAGGTTAAATAGTAAGAAAGGAACTATACTAATAAACACAAGAGTTAAGTAGTCGGCAAAGTAAATTGTAATCTCATATAATACTAATTACTAAGTAAATAGCTGATTTCAGAAAAATTCTAAAATTTTAGAGAGTTGATTTTGAGGTTTGTTTGAATAAGAGACACCTTAAATACGCTGGACCACAAACTTTGGAGAATCTACAGGATGATTATAAATACACTGCTGATATATTGACCCATACTGATTGTTATGTTTAAGGGAGGGAAATATAAAAAATCGAATGCAAGTATTATAAGCCATGCGCTGAAGAATCAAGCTTTAACAGTTACGGTTACAGTGATGAAGTTTTGAGAAATTTTTCAATCGAAACACTTTTTTCAATTTAAAACGTATAATCATCACAGTAAAAAACTTAAAATGTAATTGGAACATTGACATGAAAAGAAGCTGCGTTTTACCGAGGTTAAGATAAAGTGAGATGTAGAGATGCACTAACCACTTTTTTTGTGTTTCAAGAATTTTTGCGTGTCCACCATCATATGGGAAAACATTTAATAGACAACGGATAGTGGATAGCACACGTACCATACGAAGAGGAATCTGTTGAATCTTTATTGGGACGGCTTCTTTAATATCACACAAAGTTTGAGGATGCAAAGCGGGTACTTTGGATTTTATCCATCACCATAGTCAGAAGTACAGTGATATTGTGGATAACCTTGACGACAAATGGATGGATGGATTGATTGATTGAATATTAACGTTGCACTGTTCAGCTACACGAGGGCTTTTGGCGACGGACCACGTAATTTTGAACCATGGTCAAGTGACGTGGACTACACCTGAACTGGCACCCCCTCTCCTAACTACCACACCACACCAACTGAAGGACGTTTCAGCTCTCGACAGATTTAACGTGCATCACTGCTCTACACGGCAATTCTTTAGTGGTACTGGACTCGAACTCGTGACAAGGCAAGCCACGATCCGATACCCATACCACTCGGCTACCGCGGCCACGACGACAAATGGAAAGTGAAATAGCTGTAAAGGATAAAACCATTTCTTAACAATTGCTGTTTGTTATTCTACTTACTGTTTGTTAACTATTGCTAAAAAGTAATGATTGCCGAAGACAGCAATCTTTTTGCAGAACATTCAACATGAGGAACAACTTCACCATCAAGCTGAGGAATCAGAGATAACTGTTGCAAATCGTGGTTGACTTAATTAATTGGTCAACAGTGATTCATATAACGAGCTCCATTTAACGTATATATTCGTATGTCATTGGTTGTACACCTTTCAAAAACTAACAACGACGGATGTAGGCGCTTGTTATCCCACTTTACAAAGCCATTTTTACAATGCATTCATATAATGGAAGTACTACTTATCCACTTATTTGCCATCAATCACGACTTACCTTCAAACCTCCTATCCTCTTATATCTAGATCACAAACAGGTTGCAGTTGTGCAAATTATTTACTCGATACACTTAGTTGTTAACAAATATCTAAAAGAATATTTAAAGCGATTTGGCCAAATTTGTCTCGTTTGCTTCTATCTACCATCCATACAAGAAAGCCTATGAAATTTCTTTGAGAAAAATGTTGACTTTTCTTCAATTCAAACTTATTTTTATTCTTTTTTTTCCCACATTTGATATCTTGATTTTGATAAATTTATGTAAGGACATGTAATTAATTGTACATTTTATACTATTATTCGCAAAAAAGGTATTTTTACTTCGTTTAACATAATCATAGAATTTCAGTTGCGTTTTAGTAAAATAATATGACCTACATTTTAGACAATTTTATCCGAGAGCTTCAATTTACAGTGAGATGTTTAAAACATCTCAATTTCTGAAGCTATGCATCATGTCACGTGAAAACTTTAAGAATAAATTAGATTTAAAATTCAACAGTGCCTCCAATTCTGCACGATCCTCTTCGGTGAATTGCAATCATTCAACTTCAGTTCTATTGGAAATTCCGCCCCTTCTAGAAACGGGGGAGACAAAACGTGAAAAGGAGAAAGGTGTAGGGAAAAACAGGTATTAAAGAATACAAAATTAACTTCGTTGAGAGGGATATTTTTCAACCGAAAATCATTCCTTGATATACTTAAAATGTTTCCACCAAAATACCATATATATTGTTTTTAATTTAACACTTTATGCTGTCTTTATCTGTAAATGAACCTTGCCAATCAGAACTTTAGTGTTTGAAGCTACCCATACTTTTGATAACTATGCGATTTACATTGGAATATGATACACTTAAGGTATCCAACTAAGTTCGGAACCGTGATTTTGCAAAAGCGTATAAATGGATAATATTTATATTAGAGTCACTTAGTTTATAAAATGTATATAAAACTATTTTAAGAATAGTATTACATTTAAAAAATTATTTAAGTGCAATATTTTGACAAAAAATGAATATAGAATGACCCATTTTCAAAATATTCTCCTTTTGTGAAAAATTCTTTTATTGTAATAATATTTTGCCTGTATATAGCTCAGATCTCTGTACAGAGGCTCAACTAGAATTTTTGAAATATGTAACTTAAGAAATGGGTTTATCCATGTTTTACGACAACTGAGGGGAGAAATTTTAAGAAAAAAACGCCGATAATTATTTCAATGGGTTGTAACTCTGAAACTAATGTGATTTTTTCAAAAATCGTAGTTGAGCCTTTGTACAGAGGTCTGAGCTATATACAGGCAAAATATTATTATAATAGAAACATTTTTCACAAAAGGAGAACATTTTGAAAAAAGGTTATTCAAAGTTAATTTTTTG